GGGATTACAGGCATGCACCACCATGCCCGGCTAATTTTTGTATTTTTAGTAGAGACGGGGTTTCGCCATGTTGGCCAGGCTGGTCTTGAACTCCTGACCTCAGTCTATCCACCCTCCTTGGCCTCCCAAAGTGCTGGGATTACAGGCATGAGCCACTGCATCCAGCCTGCCTGGAATTTTTTATTCTTCTGCCACTGCCCTGTATTATTCTTGTGTCAACATGGGGTCCAGATATCTAAATTCTTGTGAGTAGTGAGTACATTGTAAGCAAGTTACATGTGTTAACTGATTTAATCCTCACAATAATATTATTATACTATTAACTTCATTTTCTTTTTTTTTTTTTTTGAGACAGGGTCTCACTTTGTCACCCAGGCTAGAATACAATGGCGTAATCACAGCTCACTGCAGCCTTCAACTCCTAGGCTCAAGCAATCCTTCTGCCTCAGCCTCTAGAGTGCCTGGGACCACAGGCATGTGCCACCATGCCTGGCTAATTTTTTGAATTTTTTGTAGAGAAGAGGGTTCATTGTGTTGACCAGGCTGGTCTTAAACTGCTGGGCTTAAGTTATCCACCCACCTTGGCCGGCTAATTTCGTGTTTAACATATGAGGAGTTGAAGTCACCGAGTGGTTCCATTTGCTAAATTACAAGGCTGGGGATTTGAACCCAGGCCACCTGGCTCTCTTAACCAAGGCAGTGAGAGGCTCCACCTACCTTAGTCCTAGCCGAGCTGGGGTGTATGAAGAACAACCTTGCTGCTTCTCCTTGTTTCCAGCTTGTGTATGAACAACCAGTCCTCAGAATGGAAACACTCCTTTCTTTGATATGCTAATACATTCCTTGGTCAGGGCAACAAGGCCTGAGATCCACTCTGTTTCCTTCAGATGACTGTCTGAATCTACCTTACTGGTTCAAAATTTTCTCTCAGAGGACAATGGCTTCACCCTTATTTCCTAGTTATTGTGGGACACCTCCCCAGGGTACCCCAGTTCTGTCAACAAACACCCACTCAGATCATTGGAAATCCAAACCAGTCTAAAAATTTCAGAGGCGGGATTGTCTCATTTTTTTTTCTTTACACAATAAACTTTTGAAATGCTACAAGCAAAAAGAATTCTGGAATTTGTAGATATTTAGATGCTTTGAGGGACTGGGCTGTTAGAGGAACCCTAATGTGAAGGCTTTTGTTAAGTGGAGGACCAGATTTGTAAATAAACAATCACCCCCCAGCCAGATAAAAATAACAGCTTCCATTTCCTGGCTCTTACTACAGACTAGGAATTGCAAGAGCTTTACATCTGTCATCTTCTCTCTCTAATAACACCTTTATAGAGGTATAATTCACATAGTGTACTTTTAAAGTATGCAAATCAGTGTGTTTTTTTTTTTTTTTTTTTGAGGAGTTTCACTCTTGTTGCCCAGGCTGGAGTGCAATGGCATGATTTCAGCTCACCGCAACCTCCACCTCCCAGGTTAAAGCAATTCTCCTGCCTCAGCCTCCCGAGTAACTGGGATTACAGTCATGCGCCACCACAACCAGCTAATTTTGTATTTTTTGTAGAGACGGGGTTTCTCCATGTTGGTCAGGCTGATCTCAAACTCCTAACCTCAGGTGATCCGCCTGCCTCAGCCTCCCAAAGTGCTGGGATTACAGGTGTGAGCCACTGTGCCGGGCCGGTTTTTTTTTTTTTCCTGTATATTCACAAGGGTATGAAGCCGTCACCACTAATTCCAGAATGTTTCCATCACCTGAAAAAGAAACCCCATGCCGGTTAGCAGGCACTCCCCCATTCCTCAGCCCCTGGTTAACCACTAATCTACTTTCTGCATCTATTTGACTATTCTGGATATTTCATATAAACGGAACTGTACAATGTGTAGTCTTTTGTGCCTGGCTTTTTTCATGTAGCATGTTACCACGTTTCATCCACGTTGTAGCTTTATTTCCTTTTTATAACCAAATACTATTCTATTGTATGAATACGCAAATTTTGTTTATCTACTCATCAGTGGATGGACATTTGGGTTGTTTCCAGTTTGGGGGTACCATCATCTCTTTTAATCTTTATGCCACCTCTAGAAGTGTGTATTTCTGTCCTCCAATGATTGACAGAGTGAACTGTGTTTTCTTTCTTTTGATCTCTTTTTGTTTATACAGATGGGGCCTTCCTGCATTGCCCATGCTGGAGTGCAGTGGCCATTTACAGGGGCAATCATAGTGCACTGCAGCTGCTAATTCCTGGTCTCAAGGGATCCTCCTGCTTCAGCCTCCCGAGTAGCTGGGACTACAAGCACGCGTCACCATGCCCAGCTAATTTTTGTATTTCTAGTTGAGATGGGGTTTCACCATGTTGGCCAGGCTGGTCTTGAACTCCTGACTTCGTGATCCACCGGCCTCGGCCTCCCAAAGTGCTGGGATTACAGGCTTGAGCCACCATACCCGGCCACTTAAAGTACATTTTAATAAAGAAATAAACGCTGGGCGTGGTGGTTCATGCCTGTAATCCCAACACTTTGGAAGGCTGAGGCCGGCGGATCACGAGGTCAGGAGTTCAAGACCAGCTTGGCCAAGATGGTGAAACCCCATCTCTACTAAAACTACAAATAAAATTAGCCAGGCGCAGTGGTAGGCACCTGTAATCCCAGCTACTCGGGAGGCTGAGGCAGGAGAATCGCTTGAATCCAGGAGGTGGAGGTTGCAGTGAGCCGAGATTGCACCACTGCACTCCAACCTGGGCTACAGAGTGAGACTCCATCTCAAAAAAAAAAAAAAAAAGAAAAAGGAAAGAAAAGAAAAAAGAAATAAGGTACATTTGCGGAAGTATAATGACTAACTCTGTCAGATGTTATCTTATGTGTAAAAGAGGCAAGGATTAGTGTAATTTATCATTTAAGGAATATAGTAACTCAGCCAGGAGACATGGGGGCCCGTGTGTCCTATTCTGTTTTATCTTCAAAACATCTTTCTGGTCCTGTTTCTTACATCAGAACAGAACAGAATTTCTGTACCTTCTTTCCAACCCCACTGCGAAGTCAATCAAATGAAAATGTCCTGAGCCATGAATCCAGCTCCTGGAGTGCGGAATCTTTCTATCAAGAAAAATTCTGGCATTATTTTATGTTCTCAGCACTCGCTGGACTCTAAGAGGTCACCTGGTCCTTTCCTCAGCCCACAAGATTCCTGAAGAAGAGCAGTAGCTCAGAAGTTTTACTCTGCAGCCCTGACTGGATTCAAATATCCTGTCTGTGTGTTAACAGGGGCATGACTTTTGGCTCAGAGACTTTGGGACTCTCTGAGCTTCAGTTTGGCCAATATAAAATGGAATTAGTAACAGCGAGGAGTGAGTGAAGCAATGACAAGGGCCTGTCATATTGTAAACTCAAACTCTGGCTTCGTATTTCCCTATTCACCGTGGACGGGGAGATGTCTCCGTGCCAAGTTGACCCCCTCCCCAACTCCGCACACGCTGGCCCTTTTCCCTAATCATCTCCCACCGCCTGCATCCCCCACTATGCTTTCCTGGGTAACTTCTTATTCTTCAGATCTTATTTTATTTTTAAAAAATTAATTGTATTTTATTTATTTTTTTTTGATGGAGAATCTTGCTGTGTCGCCCAGGCTGGAGTGTAGTGGCGCAATCTCGGCTTACTGCAACCTCAGCTCCCGGGTTCAGGCGATTCTCCTACCTCAGCCTCCTGAGTAACTGGAATTACAGGCGTGCGCCATCACGCCCGGATTTTCAGTAGATATGAGGTTTCACCAGGTTGGTCAGGCTGGTCTCAAATTTCTGACCTCGTGATCCGCCGGCCTCAGCCTTTCAAAGTGCTGGGGTTATAGGCGTGAGCCACCGCGACTGGCCTATTTTAATTTTTTAATTTTAATTTTTTTGAGACAGAGTCTTGCTCTGTCACCCTGGCTACAGTGCAGTGTCACGACCTCGACTCACTGCAGCCTCCACCTCCCGGGTTCAAGCGATTCTCGTGCCTCAGCCTACCAACTGTGATTACAGGCGCGTACCACCACGCCCAGCTAATTTTTGTATTTTTAGTAAAGACGGGGTTTCACCACGCCGGCCAGGCTGGTCTCGAACTCCTCACCTGAAGTGATCGGTCCACCTCGGCCTCCCAAAGTGCTGGGATTACAGGCTCGTGAGCCACTGCGCCTGGCTTTCAGATCTTATCTCAAACACCACTTCCTTGGTACAGCATTCAGAGACACATCCACATCCCTCTCCCGTTACTAAAGGTTCCTTCTTACGGCACCCTGCATTTTTCCTTCATGACTTTATCACAGTTTGTAACTGTCTATTTATTTTAATTAACCTGTCTGTGTCCATAAACTGTGAGCTCCGCCGGGACCTGCTCTCTGCTATGTCCTCAGTATCAACAGTGGTCTAGGATCACAGCAGGCTTTCATCAAATATTTATGGGAAACAGTCCAGTCCATTCCTGAACTCGGGTTCAGAAAAGGATAGCGATCTGTCCAAAATCACACAGGTTAGCGGTAGACTTGATCCCAAGTCTCCTAACTGGCACCCCAAGACTCTACCCCTGGAACTGGCAAGAATCTTTCTAAACTACCCCCCGATAAAATTTTGAGTGCCAAAGAAAGTCCCAGAAAGGGAAGGAGTGAGCAGTGTGGAGAGTAGGAGGAAAGTGATTTGACTTGGCCCCTTCTCTCTTAACGTTAATGTGAGCATACTACAAACTGAGGGACTATAGCAATGACGACGTGGCAGAGCGGCTACACTGAGTGAACCGATGACCCGGCAGCCATCAAAAGAGGTTCGGGAGGGTAGAGGGGAGGAGAGTGGAGACCCTGCGCAGGCGCGGTCAAGGCGCTCCGCTCCTTTCTCCTCTGCCCCGCCCTATCTCTTCTAATCACAGAAGTCCAAGAGCGGTCAGCTGATGCTACGCTGCGCGGTCACGTGACAACGGGGGAGGGGCGAAGCGCAGGCGCAAGGAGCAGGCGCAGATGGTGGGCGGCTGTGTCAGCTGACCCAAGGGGCCTTCGAGGTGCTTTAGGCGGCTTGCCTTCGTCTCAGAATCGCTGCCGCCATGGCTAGTCAGTCGCAGGGGATTCAGCAGCTGCTGCAGGCCGAGAAGCGGGCAGCCGAGAAGGTGTCCGAGGCCCGTAAAAGTGAGTTTCAGGGTGGTGCTGCCCAGCGTGGCGCGAGTCGAAGGAAGACCGCTGGGCCGCAGGTGGTGGGTAGATTAGGCCCGAAAAACTGCGGGGTGCGGCCTTGGGTATAGTCGCAGAAGGTTGTGTGTTTCGAAGCTCTGAGGAGCTGAGGCTCTGGAAGGCTTGCGAATCGCCTGGAAGCCACGATGTGAGATGGTAAATTGGGCGTGGAAACAGTAATGGGTTACCGTCCTTGGGGCCTGGAGGCATGTGAAGTGGGCTCTCCAAACGGAGCTCTTTGTTCTTCCCCTCTCCCACTTAACGGCTCTGGGGTGGTCAGTCTCGGTGAATGGAGCCAGCATCCACACGGTTGCTTGGTCTGGAAACCTGGAGTCCTACTTGCCTCTTCTCCCTCCCTCGTTTGCCACCTTTAGTCAGTCGCCAAGGCTTGCGTATCTTTCACTTTTTCCTCCATGTCTACTACCAGCGTCTTAGTCCAGGACACTAGTTTCTCTAAAGGTACTGTGACTGTCTAAATCGTTGATTGGGGTGTGTGTGTGTGTGGTGGGGGGGAGGTGTCTGTGTTTCTGTGTAATATGTGGCAAGCGCAGTGCCCAGTGCATCAGTTGTCTCCCCTAACGTGGCATTCAGTGTCGCAGTGAAGGAAGCAGGTATTGGATCGCTTAATTAATTGCAGGAGAGATGAGGGCTGGAGTGGAGAAATGGAAGGTTGCTAAAGAATTTAAACAGGTGAGTTTAATCTAGACTGGGGAGTGGAGGAACCCGTTCTAGTCCCCTCCAGTCAATCCATTCTCTCTGCAATCAGTCATCCTTCTAAAATGCAAAGATTTGACTTCCTGCTGGCAAGGAACAAAATAAATAAATGCAGATATGATTTTCCTACCGCCTTTGCAGTCAGACGTTTAGTGCCTGCAGAAGAAAGCTCAAATTCCTTAATGAAGTTGGGGAGGCTCCCGTGGGTCAGGCTTGGTCCTTTCCTCCAGCCATACTGAATCATTGTGGTCCCTTAGAAGCACCATGATTTCTTTCATCTGCAGGTCTTTGCACACGCTGTTTCCTCTGATGGGAGAAGCCTTTTCCAATTCTCCTCGCCTTTGTTCTCTGACCCTTAGTCTTCCATCAGACCTGAAAATTTAGGAAGCACTTCTTCGGGGAAGCCTTTCCTGACTCATGCTTCTCACCCAGATTAGGCTTGGAGTCCCTCCCAAGTGCTGATTTCTGCCACGGCCGTGCAATAACCTGTTTGTTTATATGGCTCAGTCACTCGACTAAGCTGGAGAACAGAAACTATGTCTCATTTAACTTTATGTATCCAGTTTCCCATCTGGTGAGAAAGATGCTTCTTTCCCTATTTTACAGATGGTAAAAATGAGGCTCAGAAATGATTTGTCCATACCCTGGGAAGCAACATAGTTGGGACTCAGAAGCCTCTTTTTCCATGCAAGGATAAGATACTGATCTTAGTAGTTCTTGGTGGTTCTCCTAGTATAGGAGTTACTCTATCTGACATCCAACTAGATTGCAAGCATGTCTCTTCTACTTGTGCAATTAGGGGTTGTGTGGTACTTGGAAAGCTTTTTTTGAGGGTGTTGGGAATGGGAGGAAGCCTTTTGTTCTTGCTCCGGTGACTGGAAAGTTCTTTGTTCTTCCCAGAATATTTCCAGTCATGCCCTCGATAGAGTATTTTCAGAATGACTTCTCAGAGTTTGTGTTCTGATGGCTCATCAGTAACAGAAGTTGTATCTGTCGGGAGGGATAGGAGAATAGATTGGGGAAGTGCAGAAAAAAAAATGCTTGGAATATTGTAAGAATAATTCTGAGTACCCTGGCCAGGTAGGATTTATGTTTTATACCTTTATCCTGTCAAGCCTGGTGCGGGGTTTTGTGTATCTCAGGTAGCTGTGAATTTGTTTTAAAAAGTGTTAGTTTGGCTGGGCATGGTGGCTCATACCTGTAATCCCAGCACTTTGAGAGACCGATGTGGGTGTATCACCTGAGGTTGAGAGTTTGTGACCAGCCTGGGCAATATGGAGAAACTCCGTGTCTACTAAGAATACAAAAATTAGCTGCGCGTGGTGGTGTGCGCCGTGTAGTCCCAGCTACTTGGGAGGCTGAGACAGGAGAAACGCTTGAACCCAGGAGGCAGGGGTTGCAGTGAGCTGAGATCATGCCACTGTACTCCACCCTGGGGAACAGACGGAGACACCGTGTCCCCCCTCCCCCCAAAAAAGGTATTAGTTTACGGCTAACATACGTCTCAGATTTTTTTTTTTTTTGAAGACAGTCTCACTCCGTCACTCAGGCTGGAGTGCAATGGCACCATCTTGGCTCGCTCCAACCTCCACCTCCCGAGATCAAGAGATTTTGTGCCTCAGGCTCCCAAGTAGCTGGGCTTACAGGTGCCCACCACCATGCCTCTCTCTATTAAAATACAAAAACATATAAATTAATCAGTACATAAATAAATACAAAATAAATTTTTGTATTTTAGTAGAGACAGGGTTTTACCATGTTGGCCGGGTTGGTCTCAAACTCTCGGCCTCCCAAAGTGCTGGGATTACAGATGTGAGTCGCTGTGCCTGTCCTGTCTCAGAATTGTTAATAGTTAGGAGCAGAGGTATTCGGAAGAACTGCAGTTTGAAAAATTGCCTTTCTTGGTTTATAATTATGGTTGACTTGCCCAGTTAAGAGTTGGGAAGAGGCAGTATGTAAAATGGTCCCATCCAATTTTTTAATGAAATCATTGCGTTGGACCTTACATTTATTTTTTTATTTATTTTTATTGTTTTGAGACGGAGTCTCGCTTCATCACCCCCAGGCTGGAGGGCAGTGGTGTCAGCTGACTGCAACCTCTGTCTCTTGGGTTCAAGTGATTCTTCTGACTCAGGCTCCCGAGTAGCGCTCGCCACCACGCCCAGCTAGTTTTTGTGTTTTTAGTAGAGACGGGGTTTCACCATATTGGCCAGACTGGTCTCGAACTCCTGACCTTGTGATCCGCCCATCTTGGCCTCCCGAAGTGCTGGGATTACAGGCGTGAGCCAACACGCCTGGCCTGGACCTTAAAATTTTTAAAGACTTTGTGTTAATGGCATATTTCATTGGAGTGAAACAAAACACTGGCTCCCATATGTAAGGCCTAAGAAAAACAAGATTTAAGAGAAATACAATTTTCTGTTTAAATATTTTTTATTTTGAGGCCCCTATCAAAATTGAATGTTGAAGATGTTTGCCAAAGGCAGTAAATGGTATTATCTTGAGTTATAAATGCAGGGAGCCATGGGAGTTGGGAGTGATGTCTTGTGGAGCTACTGCATAATGTTTGGGCCATGAGTGTTTTTTGTAGATTGTTGGTTTTGAAAATATCTTTAGCTTTGAAATATAGCCCATTATAGCTTATGGAAGGATAGCATGTGAAGGATTGGGGTACAGGTGGCCAAAGCAGACAGTAATAGGCCAGAAATAATACTGGAGTGAACGTGGACTTGCAGAAATAGTCTTTGGAGTGCTTAGAGAGAGACCTGTTAATTGTTTCAGACTAGCGTCAGGGAATGTTGATGTCATGGGTCACTTCATTACAGGTCCAAAGTTCTGTTCTTAATCAGGAGGTAGAAGGTTAAGTTTATTTTCATTTATCCACACGGGCTCTAGACAGTTGATATACAATGATGTATAACAAAGCCTAATTTTAGATGCAGGATGTCTTTTGCTCTGAATTAAATAAATAGGTTGATGGATGGTCTAGAACCCCTCTTTTTTTTTTTTTTTTTTGGTGAGTGGAGACTCAAAGCAGAGGGTATATGTTGGCTGTCCTTGTGGTCTGTTTTCATGTAGGCTCTGACCAAACCTAGAGATTTTTTCCAGCTGTATGTTAAGCCACTCACTTCTAGAAACCAAAATACCTGTCTCTCCTCTTCTCTCAGCTGCTTGTGCAGTCTGACTGTACAGTGTTCCTCATTCAGCATTCCTTCGCAAGTCACCACTGTCATTACTTCCTTGTGACAGGCACTGCTTTTAGTTTCCAATGTTACATCATCTGGTTCATTAGTTACATTATAGGTTGATGTCCTTGGGAGCTTATTAGGCTTCTTGCTAAGCATCTAAGTAGGGTTGCAGCTTTAATGAGCAGCATACTTACATGTTTACTTCTGGAGAAGAGTTCCCTAGATGGTTAATGTTACTCATTCTATGTTTGTTCTTAATAGTTGAGATTGAGAGAATATTCTGACACATTCTATAATTTTTTCCCATCTTTTTAATGGGCTGTAGTTATAGAAGGTATTCATTTTTGTTTTGTCACTTTCTAGTTAAGTACAGCCTATAGGAGGGAGGAACCTGTACTATTTGTTAGCTCTGCATTCCCTCTTTCCCATGCACATCTCTTCAGACTGTGTCATAATTTATTCTTGGTTTATTGTTATAATATACCATCTGAGTCTCTGCTTGCTTTTCTACTTTTAACCACTTCCTGATATAGCTCTCTCCTTTGAAAACAGGAAAGAACCGGAGGCTGAAGCAGGCCAAAGAAGAAGCTCAGGCTGAAATTGAACAGTACCGCCTGCAGAGGGAGAAAGAATTCAAGGCCAAGGAAGCTGCGGTGGGGCACCATTTGTTTTTGTTGCTGCTTTTGTCTCCTAATCCCCCGTCCCACCAAGGCTTTCAAAATAGCCAGCATAGCTCAGAGATCCTGGTTGAATTTTGAAAATGTGGTAGTCATGTGTTTTATTGACTGCTTAGGCATCTGTCTCTTAGGATGATCAGTTTTTCCACTCATATTGAGTCCTAATTTTCATTTATTCACTCATTTGACACATATCTGTTAGGCAGTTAACATGTCTCAGGTACTGTGCTAGATGCTAGAAATCAGCTGTGACCAGGAAGAGACATGGTCCCTTCCCTCATGGAGTGTAGCTTACCATCTGGTGGCCAGGGAGACTCAGTAATACAGTACAAATCATGCAGAGCTACAACTGAAAAGTGCTGTGACGGTTGTAAACAAATCAAATGGAGCCCCACTTTAGTATAGTATATATAGTACAGACATTTACCAGTGATACAGGCTACAGTATGGTGCATCCAATAATAGTACAAAAACAGAGAGTACAGAGGAGGCAGGGACAATTGTGGAAAGGGGAAAGGACAGAGGAGGGCTTCACAGAGAAAAGGAACTATCAGGACTCTTGGGTGCAGGTAACAAAATATAATTAAAACTGATTCTAAATGGAATGTAATGGCCTATATAATTAAAAACCCAAGAGCTTATGCTCAGGACTTTCTCTCCCCTCTGTGTTTGGCTTTGTATCATTCTCAAGTTCTACATTGTGGCCTCTAGTAGTTCCAGCATACACACTTCCAGGCCCAAGTCCAGTGATTAAAGGCACATACCTCTCTCCTTGCATTAAGTAGCAAAAATTTTGATCAATTTTTAATTTTTTCTTTTTAAGAGACAGAGTCACATTCTGTCATTCAGGCTGTAGCTCAGTGGTGTGATCATAGCTCATGGTAGCCTGGAGCTCCTAGGCTTAAGCCATCCTCCCCTGCCCAGCCTTCTGAGTAGCTAGGACTATAGGCATGATCCATCATGCTCAGCTAATTTTTTTTGTTTTTGTAGAGATAGGGTCTTATTGTGTTGCCTTGACTGGTCTCGAACTCCTGGCCTCAAGTAATCCTCACATCTCGACCTCCCAAGCTGGATCATCTTTGTTCTTGGCAATTACAATGCCATTAAAACTTGGCTGGGCACAGTGACTCACACCTGTAATCCCAACACTTTGGGAGGCTGAGGTGGGAGGATTGCTTGAAGCCACAAGTTCAAAACCAGCCTGGGCAATAAACCAGACCGCGTCTCTACAAAAAAAACAAGATAAATACAAATAAAACTTAACATGTTTCTGTGATTCTTGCACTGGGGCTGATAGGTGCTGTAAGTTGTCAGATTGCTCATAAAACAATGTAGAAATACCCTTGTGTGTCAGGGCAGCCATCATCTTCTTATCTTCTTTTTTTTTTTTTTTTTTTTTTTTTTTTTTGAGATGGAGTTTTGCTCTTGTTGCCCAGGCTGGAGTGCAATGGCATGATCTCGGCTCACCACAACCTCTGCCTCCTGGGTTCCAATGATTCTCTCGCCTCAGCCTCCCAAGTAACTGAAATTGCAGGCATGTGCATCCGGCTAAGTTTGTATTTTTAGTAGAGACGAGGTTTCTCCTTGTTGGTCAGGCTTGTCTTGAACGCCCGACCTCAGGTGATCCGCCTGCCCCGGCCTCCCAAAGTGCTGGGATGACAGGCGTGAGCCACCACACCCAGCACTTTTTTTTTTCCAAGATGGAGTCTTGCTCTGTCACCCAGGCTGGAATGCAGTGGCGTCATCTCGGTTCACTACAACCTCCACCTCCCAAGTTCAAATGATTTTCCTGCCTCAGCCTCCCAAGTAGCTGAGACTACAGGCGTGCACTAACATGCCCAGCTAATTTTTCTATTTTTAGAAGAGATGGGGTTTCATTATGTTGGCCAGGTTGGTCTTGAACTCCTGACCTTGTGATTCGTGTGCCTCGGCCTCCCAAAGTGCTGGAATTACAGGCGTGAGCCACTACACCCGGCCCGTCTTCATATTTTTACATTCTTTTTTCTTTATTGTGGCACAGGCTTAGGAGGTCCCAATGACAGGTGCCCTCATATTCTTACATTGTGTGTTGTAGTTGATTATAGAGATGGTACTGGTATTGCACTGTAAAGCACAAGCTCTGATTCCTTTTTTTCTTTCTTTTTTTTTTTTTTTGAGACAAGCGTTTCACTCTTGTTGCCCAGGCTGGAGTGCAATGGTGTGATCTTGGCTCACTGCAACCCCCACCTCCCAAATTCAAGTGATTCTCCTGCCTCAGCCTCCCGAGTAGGATTACAGGCGCCCACCACCACACCCAGCAATTTTTTTTTCTTTTTTTTTTTTGGTCTTTTTAGTAGAGAGAGGGTTTTGCCATGTTGGCAGGCTGGTCTCGAACTCCTGACTTCAGGCGATCCACCTGCCTCAGCCTCCCAAAGTGCTGGGATTAGAGGTGTGAGCTACCATGCTCAATCAAGCTCTGAATCTTTCTAGCAGTGTTCCATTTGTAACCTCTTTAGTTTTTGAGACAACTTAGCAGAGCCTGGCATATGGCTTATATTCAAGAAACAGGTAACGGGGTTCTGAACATAAAAGTATGAGTTAGCAACCGAGCTGTTATGAAATGCCCCGGGAGATTCCTGTAATATGAACAGTTATAGTATAGTATGAAGAGCCCTAAGGGCATAGTGGCTCCTGCCTGTAATCCTAGCACTTTTGGGAGGCTAGGGTGGGTGGATCGTTTGAGCCCAGGAGTTCAAGACCTGCGTGGGCAACATGGTGAAACCCTGCCTCTACAAAAAATACAAAAATTAGCTGGGCATGGTGGTGCATACCTGTAGTTCCAGCTACTCGGGAGGCTCAGGTTGGAGGATGGCTTGAGCCCAGAAGGTAGAGATTGCAGTGAGCCAAGATCATGCCACTGCACTCCAGCCTAGGCAACAGAGTGAGACTCCATCTCTTAAAAGGAGAAAATGGAGTGATAAAGTTAGGCACAGTGGTGTACACCTGTGGTCCCAGCTCTGCAGGAGGATCTCTTGAGCTTGGAGTCTGAGGCCATCCTGGGCAACATAGTGAAATCCCATCTTTTTGGGGGAAAAAAATGGAGTGATAGCCTCCTTATAGGTCGTTGTGAGAAATAGGTAATGTGAGAGAATCTTTTGCAAATTAATGTTATACAAATATGAAGGGATGTTGTTATTAGCATATATATATGTATAGTGAGGCAAGAACAGATTAGGTGAATAAAAAGGGTCTGACACAAAAGTTACGTCTTCCAAAACCTTATAGGTTAAGTTCTAGTAAAGAAGGCACAGCAGTTAACAAAAAGCTGGCTGTACTGTGAAGACCATAGAAGGTAAAAGAAAATTCATGTCAGTGTGTGTGAAATTGCTAAGAGAAACTGAAGAGATAAGATGTTTACAATAAAAATTCAGGTAATAAAAAGGGGCAGGCCAAGGTGGGTGGATCACGAGGTCAGGAGATCGAGACCATCCTGGCTAACATAGTGAAACCCTGTCTCTACTAAAAATACAAAAAAAATTAGCTGGGTGTGGTGGCAGGCGCCTGTAGTCCCAGCTACTCAGGAGGCTGAAGCAGGAGAATGGCGTGAACCCGGGAGGTGGAGCTTGCAGTGAGCCAAGATTGCGCCACTACTCTTCAGCCTGGGCAACAGACCGAGACTCCATCTCAAAAAAAAATAAATAAATAAAAGTGGGGGGGGTGGTGGGGGCAGCAATGAGAAATTAGTTTTCCTCTCTTTCAGATCTGCAGTACTCCTCAGAGCCAGTCACTGTTAACAGGTTTCTTTTTTAAATTCTTATAGAATATTTATATTTGCAAGAACAGATGTGACACACTGGTGAATCCACTGTTGAACTTAAGAACTAAAACACTAACCAATAATGGTGAAACTCCTTGTATATTACTCCTAAATTGTATCTTTTGTTTATTATTCTTACTTGTTTTGTTTGGAGATGGGGTCTTCTTGGAATTTTGCTCAGGTAGGGCTCCAACTCACCATCCTCCTGCTTCAGTGTCTCGAATAGCTGAGACTACAGGCATGCACTACCATGTCTGGCTTGTGTTTATTATTATTTAGGAATTTTTAAAAACCATGTATCTCCCCACATTTAAAACCACAGATACAAAAACATACCACATTGATACTGTTGTATATCTTGCTTATATTTTACAGTTCATTGCAATTCCTGAATAGTTCTCTTATATAGAAGCAAGCTGAGTTTTTAGGTTGATTCCTGTCTTTGGTTAAGGCTAAATAGCAGACTCTTAGAGGAGAGATGTGAATACATGTCTTTGGAATAATTTCCTAGCAGTGGAAATGCTATGCAGTTTACTTTTGGTAGATGTGGCTCCCGTTGACTCAGGGAATACGTCACATGTGCTTCAGCCACAAGGTCACATTCTGAGTATACTGATTGGTGAGCCTGGGTTTCTCCAAAAGTCAGCAAGTAGCTTATGAGATGTACCTGACCAACCAGAGCATTGTTCTGATAATCCCTCTGTGACATCGCTCCCCATCTCCAGGCACTGGGATCCCATGGCAGTTGCAGCACTGAAGTGGAGAAGGAGACCCAGGAGAAGATGACCATCCTCCAGACCTACTTCCGGCAGAACAGGGATGAAGTCTTGGATAACCTCTTGGCTTTTGTCTGTGACATTCGGCCAGAAATCCATGAAAACTACCGCATAAATGGATAGAAGAAGAGAGAAGCACCTGTTCTGTGGAGTGGCATTTTAGATGCCCTCATGAATATGAAGCTTTAGCACAGCTGTAGTTACATTCTTTTGAAATGGCATTAAATTATTTCCATATATTATATAGTAGGTCCTTCCACTTTTTGGGCAGTAGCAAATCTAGCTTTTTTGTACAGACTTAGAAATTATCTAAAGATTTCATCTTTTTACCTCATATTTCTTAGGAATTTAATGGGTATATGTTGTCTTTTTGGCAAGGTATATATGCCTTTTGGCTCAAGCAACATGTATATCACTGTTGACTTTTTCTTTCTTAGATCTAGTTTTAAAAAAAAACACCACATAACCATTCTTTGAAGAAAGGAAGGGATTAAATATTTTTTTTCCCTAACACTTTCTTGAAGGTCAGGGGCTTTATCTATGAAAAAGTAGTAAATAGTTCTTTGTAACCTGTGTGAAGCAGCAGCCAGCCTTAATGTAGTCCATTCTTGCTAATGGTTAGAACAGTGAATACTAGTAGAATTATTTGGGCTGCTTTTAGTTTCTCTTAATCAAAATTACTAGATGATAGAATTCAAGAACTTGTTACATGTTATTACTTGGTGTATCAGTAATCATTTAAAAGTAAAGACTCTGTCATGCATTTTTCTCCCGTTCATTTTTTTCCTTGTCTCCATGATGACCAATGGTTCATCATTTTTGATAATGCATAATGCACTTTGACCCAGATGGTCTGCAGAATTTCACTTAGGACATCAGTGCACAAACAGCACACATATCACATACCCATTTATATACATAATTAGAAAATGTTCGTGATACATGCATCATATGATTTCACCCAACAAATGTTTTGGAAAACAGCAAGCAACTAGTCTGTAGTTTCTTTTCTCTAGAGAGCCTTGGCCTGGGGCAAGTTATTAAGCATATTTCCTTTCTGGTGGGCTAGATGATGTGCATTATACCTGCAGTACCTTCACACTAGCCCTTACAAGTTTTGTGGTGGTGTTTTTTTTTTTTTTTTTTTTTTTTCTTTTTTGAGACGGAGTCTCGCTCTGTTGCCCAGGCTGGAGTGCAGTGGAGCGGTCTCGGCTCACTGCAAGCTCCGCCTCCTGGGTTCATGCCATTCTCCTGCCTCAGCCTCCCAAGTAGCTGGGACTACAGGTGGCTACCACCACACCTGGGTAATTTTTTGTATTTTTAGTAGACAGGGTTTCACCGTGTTAGCCAGGATGGTCTCAATCTCCTGACCTCGTGATCCACCCATTTCGGCCTCCTAAAGTGCTGGGAATACAGGTGTGAGCCACCACACCCAGCCTAGCCCTTACAAGTTAAATGTCCTGTGGCCCTCTTAGCCGAAAGTCTTTGGTTGCAAAAGTAATTGCTTATAGGTGAAAACAGTTGAAAGAACATGGGATTTCCTTGTTCTGATACAAGACAAGACAACTAGATGACCTTAAAAACCCTCATATTTAATATGACTCAGGATTTTTTTTTTTCAGACCACTGCTGTCTCTAGTTACTGTTATTTCTCTGTTCCTTTTTATAGAATTCCTCAAAAGAGTGACTGGATGAGGTTTTGTTTTTTTGGTTTTTTTTTTACTGTTAAAACCCTCAAGTCTTGCTAGCCCACTGAAGCTGTGTGTCAAGATCAGCAATGCTGTCCAGGTTGAGAAAGCTCATCCTCTTCCTCCTTGACCTTCCGTACTTTGACAGGGTTGACCATTCCTTCATTTAACCACTTTTGTTTTTTTGAGACGGTCTCGCTCTGTGACCCAGGCTGGAGTGCAGTGGTCTGGTGTGGTCTCAGTTCACTGCAACTTCCGTGTCCCCTGCTCAGTTGACCCACCTCAGCCTCCCGAGTACCTAGGACTACAGGCACACACTATCACACCCAGCTAATTTTTCTGTTTTTTTTTTTTTTTTTTTTTAAGACGGAGTTTTGCTGTGTCACCCAGGCTGGAGTGCAGTGGCGTGATCTTGGCTCACTGCAAGCTCCGCCTCCGAGGTTCACGCCATTCTCCTGCCTCAGCCCCCTGAGTAGCTGGGACTGCAGGCACCCACCACCACGACCGGCTAAGTTTTTGTATTTTTTTTTTTTTTTTTGTAGAGACAGGGTTTCTTTTTTTTTTTGAGACGGAGTCTCGCTCTGTCACCTAGGCTGGAGTGCAGTGGCCAGATCTCGGCTCACTGCAAGCTCCGCCTCCCGGGTTTACGCCATTCTCCTGCCTCAGCCTCCCGAGTAGCTGGGACTACAGGTGCCCGCCACCTCGCCCAGCTAGTTTTTTGTATTTTTTAGTAGAGACGGGGTTTCACCGTGTTAGCCAGGATGGTCTCGATCTCCTGACCTCATGATCCACCCGTCTCGGCCTCCCAAAGTGCTGGGATTACAGGCTTGAGCCACCGTGCCCGGCCATGACAGGGTTTCACCGTGTTAGCCAGGATGGTCTTGATCTGACCTTGTGATCCGCCCACCTCGGCCTCCCAAAGTGCTGGGGTTACAGGCATGAGGCACCGCGCCTGGCCAATTTTTCTGTTTTTAGTAGAGGCAGGGTTTCTCCATGTAGCCTGGGCTGGTCTCAAACTTCTGGGCTCAAGCGATCCTCCTGACTTGGCTTCCCAAAGTGCTGGGATTACAGCTGTGAGCCACTGCACCCAGCCCACTTAGCTTCCATCGTGCAGTATTATGCTTCATTGCTTCTCATTCATTCTCTCCCTCGTTCTTCCTTCAGCTTTTTAATTTTTTTTTTTTTTTGGAGATGGAGTCTTGTTACCCAGGCTGTGGTGCAGTGGCATGATCTCGACTCACTGCAACCTCCCGGGTTCAAGTGATTCTCCTGCCTCAGCTTTCCTATTAGCTAGGACTACAGGTATGCGCCACCACGGCCAGCTATTTTTTGTATTTTTAGTAGAGATGGGGTTTCACCATGTTGGCCAGGATGGTCTCAATCTCTTGACCTTATGATCTGCCCTCGGCCTCCCAAAGTGCTGGGATTACAGGTGCGAGCCACCACACTTGGCCTCCTTCTGCTTTTATCAGTCTCTTCACGCTGCTGATGAAGACATACCCGAGATGGGGAAGAAAAAGGTTTAATTGGACTTAAAAGTTCCACATGGCTAGGGAGGCCTCAAAATCATCGTGGGAGGCAAGACACTTCTTACATGGTGAGGGCAAGAGAAAAAGAGGAAACTCCTGATAAACCCATCAGATCTTGTGAGACTTAATATCACGAGAATAGCATGGAAAGACCAGCCCCATGATTCAATTACCTTCCCCGGGTCCCTCCCGCAACATGTGGGAAATCTGGGAGATACAATTCAAGTTGAGATTTGGGTGGGGATGCAGCCAAACCATATCATTCTGCCCCTGACCTCTCCAAATCTTATGTCCTCACATTTCAAAACCAATCATACCTTCCCAACAGTCCACCAAAGACTTACTTCAGCATTAACCCAAAAGTTCACAGTACAAAGTCTCATCTGAGGCAAGGTATGTCCCTTCACCTATGAACCTATAAAATCAAAAGCAAGCTAGTTACTTCCTAGATACAATGGGGGTACAAATATTGGGTAAACACAGCCATTCCAAATGAGAGAAATTGGCCAAAACAAAGGGGTTACAGGGCCCATGCATGTCTGAAATCCAGCAGGGCAGTCAAATTGTAAAGCTCCAAAATGATCTTTGACTTCAGGTCTCACATCCAGGTCACACTGATGTAAGAGGTGGGTTCCACCCCTGCGGCTTTTGCAGGGTACAGCCTGCAATGATCCTGGGCAGCTCTGCCCCTGTGGCTTTGCAGGGTACAGCCTCCTTCCCAGCTGCTTTCATGGGCTGGTGTTGAGGGTCTGTGGCTTTTCCAGGTGCACGATGCAAGCTATCAGTGGATCCCATTCTGGGGTCTGGAGAACGGTGGCCCTCTTCTCAAAGCTCCACTAGGCAGTGCCCCAGTAGGGACTCTGTGTGTGGCTCTGACCCCACATTTCCCTTCCACACTGCCCTAGCAGAGGTTCTCCGAGGGCCCCACCCCTGCAGCAAACTTTTGCCTGGGCATCTAGGCATTTCCATACATCTTCTGAAATCTAGGCAGAGGTTCCCAAACCTCAATTCTTGACTTCTATGCACCTGCAGGTTCAACATCATGTGGAAGCTGCCAAGGGTTGGGGCTTCCACCCTCTGAAGCCACAGACCGAGCTATACATTGGCCCCTTTCAGCCAGCCATGGCTGGAGGGGCTGGGACATGGTGCCATGTCCCTAGGCTGTACACAGCACAGGGACCCTGGGCCCAGCTCATGAAACTACTTTTTCTTCCTGAGCCTCCAGGCCTGTGATGTGAGGGGCTGCTGTGAAGGTCTCTGACATGGCGTGGAGACATTTTCCCAATGGTCTTGGGGATTAACATTAGGCTCCTTGCTACTTACGCAAATTATTTCTGCAGCTAGCTTGAATTTCTCCCCAGAAAATGGGTTTTAATTTTCTATCAAATAGGCTGCAAATTTTCCAAACTTTTATGCTCTGCTTTCCTTATAAAACTGAATGCCTTTAACAGCACACAAGTCACCTCTTGAATGTTTTGCTGCTTATAGAAATTTCTACCAGATACCCTATATCATCTCTCAAGTTCAAAATTCCATAAGTTGCTAGGGCAGGGGTAAAATGCTGCCAGTCTCTTTGCTAAAACATAGCAAGAGTCACCTTTGCTCCAGTCAAGTTCCTCATCTCCATCTGAGACCACCTCAGCCTGGACCTTATTGTTCATATTGTTATCAGCATTTTGGGCAAAGTCATTCAACAAGTCTCTAGGAAATTCCAAACTTCCCCACATGTTCCTGTCTTCTTCTGAGCCCTCCAAACCGTTCCAGCCTCTACCTGTTACCCAGTTCCAAAGTTGCTTCCACATTTTTGGGTATCTTTTTAGCAGCACCCCACTCCTGGTACCAATATATTGTATTAGTCTGTTTTCATGCTGCTGATGAAGGCATACCTGAGACTGGGAAGAAAAACAGGTTTAATTGGACTGATAGTTCCACATGGCTGAGGAGGCCTCAGAATCATGGTGGGAGGTGAAAGGCACTTCTTACGTGGTGGAGGCAAGAGAAAATGAGGAAGAAGCAAAAGCAGCCTGAAAACCCTATCAGATCTCATGAGACTTATTCACTATCATGAGAACAGCACAGGAAAGACTGGCCCCCATGATTCAATTACCTCCCCCTTGTTCCCTCCCACAACACGTGGG